AAAACCCAAGAAATAATCGTTTTTATATTTTGACATAGAATATTTTTTTTCAGAACTACCCTCATAGTAAACATGTGTTTGTAAACATACCATATGTATCGAGAGACGCACACTAATATACGCTACTAAAAAAGTGACCGTGAAGTTGGAATTTTCCATATTTCTTTCATACTTTCGCATTTTTATATATTAATTATGAATCTTTAAGATTATTTAACCATTCTATTTTTAAAAACGTGTCCAACCAAGAGACATAAAGAGAAATACAGTGGATACAACATTGCCAAGTCTTGGTTATCATATACTGTAACCGTTATAAAAAACTGTATACTGTACATATTAATTTCCGGGAAACTAAAAGCCGAATAATTTTGGAATTTTTTAATGATTATTCTAGTTTTAAATCTTTTATCGTCTTTTCGCTTTTCACTAAATCCATAAAAGTAATTTGGTCGTTAGAATTAAAAACATGATATCGGCAGCCGTTTCCGTACCCATGACATATGTAGTATTAACTTGAACCTCAATTATCTTCGGTACAGTCGATCTTTTACTTGTACATGTGTGTAGATAGTGACGAATCTCGATTAATATGCTGTTAAAATTCGAAAAGATGTCCAAGAAGAGAGATTTATGGGCCGACCATCTTGAGCCAGGCACTATGCCTAACTCGGTTCGATAAATTCGGCGAAGCGAAATTCTCCATTTTCCCACAAAGCGACAGAGAAAGTGTTTCTCGTCAACCCGACAATCGCACCCGTGCGAGACGTTTGAAAATGCCCTCTTTAAAAACAAAACCAAGCGAAAGGCGAGAAAAAAATTCACGAATTATTCACGAGGCATCGCTCCTCGAGCGAGCGAGCGAGCGAGCGCGGTAACCTGTATTTTGTCATGTTTCAGCCAGTTTTATAATATTTAACGCGCTCCTCTCCGCGTATCTGGCATCGCCAGGATATGACATTCAGTCCGATTATCCGGATTCTGCGCTCGCCAACTCGCGCTCGCCGTCGCCTCAGCTGTTTTATTAGCGCGCGCGACTAGTTGTAGACGCGCGAGTGTCGTGCGATCCCGTCAGTTTCCACGTACGTACGAAGATTTCCGTAGGTGCGATATATCGTCTTTACGCGCGAGCGACCGCTCACGGGGGGAAATGTCGCGCAGAGCGCGCGGAGACGCGCACGGGTGGGCTATCTATAGCGGCGAGTGTAACCGAATGGAGTCTCCGGGTGTCACTCAAGGGTGACAAAACTCATTAATACCGATCTGCTTAATGCTCCGTCTCGTGTCCGACATTAATCTACTTTAAAAATACCTGTAGCGCGCGAGTGACCCGCCATTTTAGATCATCCGTGTCGGCTTACTTTGTACGCGAGGTATACCCGAACGTTCCAGGGAGCGTCGAGGAGAAACAAGCACTCACACACCGCGCCCGCCCCCAACGCACCCGTATATTCTCACCACCGTTATAATGCGCTGAAGAAAAGTGCCACCGTTCAAGTAATATTTACTTGTCCACGAGTAAAATGGTTACGCCTCGGCAAATATTTACTAGAAGTGGAAATATAATTGACTATGCGCAATATATATTTCTTTCGCATATAAGTGGACGTTTACTTGTGTGTGTTAGAACAATATTAAATTTATAATATTGAGAATATCAGACTTTATTTCACGAAAATATTCACGGATAATACATTTTTAATTTAAAACCATATGGGAAAAAATTAATATCAATTCGAGACTCATATTTTCATACACAATACGAAATTTTGTGTTAAGAACGGTCCATTGAAATCTTGTTATTTTTAATAAGGTGAATATGTTAATTTAATATTATATTTAAAACATTTCCCTTGTTAAAGGAACACAAAAATTTCACTGGGCTGTTTTTAACATAAAATTTTTTACTGTGTATATAAACAAGAATGTATAATCTTATATGAAGATAAAATTGCTCATATGGAGAAATTCTATATAGTTTCGTTAAGAGTACTATGTTCTTGTTATTCAAGAATAATTTTCATGAATTGAAAGGTAAAAATATTGTATAGAAAAAACGATATCTTCAAATTAAAAATTATATCAGTTTGAAGATATTGTTTCTTTCTACATCCAATATTTTTTTCCTTTCAATCCATAAAAAACATTCCTGAATAACAAGAATATTTTTTTAATGAAACTATGCAAAATTTCTTCAAATATATAAGTTTTATCTTCATGTAAGATTATATATTCTTGTTTGTATATAAATTTATGAGTCTTAAATTGATACTAATTTTTTCCCGTGTAGATTTCTCCAGTGGGAAAGAAGTATTAAATAATCCTAATAAGTGCTCTTTTAAATTTAAAGCCATTTTGTCATCAGTATGCCAATCAGTAAGTCATTTACAAATTAAGATACTATTACATTCAAATAAATCTTTATTACAAGCTATTAAAATATACTTTAATCGATAAAAAACACTATTTAATTTAAACGCCGGAAAATAATACTTTAACGTAACGGTATAAATAATTGTGATAACAATAATAATAAATATAATTACGTTTACTGGATTTGTATACTTTCCTTCTGTATATTCTCACTGACATCGCGACACATACGTCCTTCCTGTTCTTTCCTGAAGGAACTCTCCGAGCGATTCCGCCGCAAAGAAGTCGAGCCGACGTTCATGTGGACCGGAAAGGGCGGAAGAACGGAAAGCTCGGCGGAAGTCTCGCGAGCCGAACCCGCCCCTACCGGTGTTATCTCTTCTCTTTGGCCGCTATTTAAACTATTTTCGACGAGTCCGCGCGACTGATCGTGATTCACACGGACGGCCTGAGATATTATTTTTGTATCCCTTATACCTTATTAGACCTTATAACCGCCACGGCAACATCTTCGATAGCCCTGTACGATATAGATTGTATATAAGATTGCCAGAGACGTCCGGTCTATCCTAGACGACCGTGGCGGTTGCTCTCGCGACTGTTTGATGATATTTTCATATCGGCAGCGATACAGGGGTGTGCTTGCGTCGCGCTGACAATACGCGGCAACTCTCCAATTGATGGTACCGAAGAGTTTTCACTGCCTCGCATGTAAAAATAGAAGATTTTACAATAGCCATATTTCTTTCACGGGCGCGCGCGCGTGTGCACACACACACACACACACACACACACACGTGCAGCATATCGTGCGCGACCATCGGCCTCGCTTTTAACAACTCTCTAACGAACCTGTCATTTTTTCATTGATTTTAATTTAATTTGATACTTTGACAGGGGACTTTGAAATTTAATGGGCAAATTGAAGGGGACGGAGGGAAGGACTAGGTAACTATCGGTTTCCCATCGTCGGGTATTCGCTCGTAAAAAATGACAACTTTGTTACAGAGTTTGTCGTTAAAAACACATCCGGTGGTCTCGCTGGTGTACGCTGTATAAGCGTGTAAAAAAAAAAAACAGGCGCGCGCACACATAGCTACCGTAAATATCTTCTATTTTTGCACGGCGTGCGCGTGAGACAACGAAAGCGAATTTAATGTTATGGTCCCTTGAATCTCGCGGCCGTGTAACGACCGTGACTGGGTACTGATGCAGCCTTATGCGATGCAGATGGTGATGATTTTTTGCACGACAGGGCGAGTCATGAGCGGCGAGAATTCGCGGGGCTGCACACACACGGTGCGCTAATCACTCGACGTTTCTTCAGCGAGAGAATACGCGCCGAAGGCAGAAGGACACCAGACGTTCCTTTCTTCTAACGACTTTTCCACGCCACGTGCACTCCGCGACGGTGGAACCCGGTAATTGCGCCAAACGCGCATATTTTGAGGTCGTAATTTAATTCAAGCCGCACGCGAATCAGACGGCCGCTCGGCTCACCGGAAATTAGATCCTCGCCGCGATTTGTCGCATCTCTCGTAGTTGATTTGAAACAATCAATCGCAATCAATTTCTACGATGACTTCGACTTCTGTCTTGATCTTGACGACCCCCAGCGTGAATAACCATTTATACTCCGCGTTCCGATCAACAAAACAAACTGAAAAGTTTCGATTTAATCAAATTTAATTTTGAACTTCAATTTCAACGTAAGAATTTTCCGGGCGTCAAGATTTATAGTCTTCTATTTCAAGCTGGACCGAACTAAACGATGTGATTTACGATACGGACGATCATTTTTGTTGTCAATAAACAGAGAAATGCTAGAATCGAGTAAACGTAATTATCTGTCTTTTAAGCCTTTTAAATCAATTAATATTTTCATCAAATTTAAGTATATTTTAATAACTTCTAATAAATATTTATTTGAACGCAATAATACGTTAATTTATAAATGAATTACTGAATGAAAGTGTAAAATGATTCTATAAATTTGAGAGACTATTTGTTAAAATTATGTAATATTTCTTTTCGGTTGAAAAAATTTAGTAATTTTAAATTAAGATTTTTCTATCCGATAAATATTTCCTGAAAATAAACTCTGACTATCTCAATATTATAGTTTTAATATTTGTCGCAATTACTTCAACACCTATAGGCAAATGTCTACTCATACGAAAGAAACATCATATCGTACATAGTCTATTAAACGTCCACTTCTAATAAATACACTATCTACTTCTAATAAATATTTGCCAAGGCATATTTAAGTAACCATTTTATTTGCGAATCAAGTGAACATTATTCAAACGATATATCACTTTCTCAATGTATCGGCGATTTAATGTAACCACCGAATCCGAATTTACACACACTCGAATCTGAATACGATCATTATTATTCTTCGGCAGCGCGACACATCGTCGAAGCGATTACTCGTGTCCGGTGTCGCGATGGCCGGTTGGACGTTTTGGTACCGTCTTCATTATGTAACCCGACTCTGGTTACGGTCGCTGGAAGACTCCTCGCAGAGCAAGGGGGCGGGTCTCGGCGTTAAGTACTTTACCCCGAGAGCCTAAATTTGTAAGCAACCGCACGCAGGGTGGAACGCGAGTAATACCACTCACCGTTAATTGGTTGAAACCTTGCCAAAGGATCCGAGAATTGCCGAAGTCTGTCCGTCACGTACTGCGGCGACTCTCCATTCTGTAAATAAGAGAAACGAATGTAGCCGCTCAATGTAGCTGTTCCGTGTACCGGTGCGAGCTCTCTCTCTCTCTCTCTCTCGTTCTCTCTTCTTCTTTTTCTCTCTCTGCCGCGACGCAAATAAAACAGGGCACGTCACGAGCACATCATTCGCGAGGTCGAGCAAGCGTGCCTCGGAATAATAGATTCTCAATAGGTGGGATTACAGGAGGCGACGGTTCCGAATTAAATCTACCAACTATATATCGCGCAAATACCTTCCGATTGGAAGGCATCGATCGCGCCGTTACTTCACTTCATTCTCCATCAACTGCCGAGTCCGTTCTCGTTTCGCACTTGCACTTTCCTTGGGGTCTCTCGACCGCCTCTCATTCGTATCCCCCCAAATAATTTCGAACAAGCATTTATATTTCATCCTTTCCCCTCCCCCTCCTCCGCTCATCCCTCACCGTCATTAAGACGTTAGAAACATTCCAAGAACGATGGAATGGGATACTACTTACGTACGTCACGCGTGCGTAGAAATGTACGAGATACATCGTGCATTCCGTTTTTGCGGAAAGTTCTGTGAACAACGTACAGTCGAGATTTATACTTTCCCGAGGATATAGCGAAGCGGAATGACGATAAAGAAAAATCCCATGGATTACGACAGAAATATGCTCCCCGACTTATCGCGCTAATAATATCTGTTTGCCTGAATGGGACTAATTTCGGAGCGAGATCAGCCCGCACATAGAGAGAAGAATCGGAAGAAAACGTATCTCGCGCGCGAAATCTCTCTCTCTCTCTCTCTCTCTCTGAACGCGTCGCGTTCGAGCGGTAAAATTGTCTTTGCTCCGGGCTTTGACGGTGACTCCTCTGCGTTGTTTAACGAGGCAACATGGATCACCGGCGGCCATCTAATGGTAAGCCCGAATATGCGCTTAGCTTGAAATGGCCGGGAAGAAACTTGCGCGCAAACGCTCTTCGCGGGATACACAGAGGGCAAAACGAAATACGCCGACAACGCGTTAAATTAAAGCACAGCGGATAAAGCTCGCTCCGTCCGATTTTCGAAAGCCACACGTAGCAATTCGTTATATTGCGCTTCTAATTCTACATCACATTACACGTACACACGCGCACACACACATGGACCGACACAGACACCAACTATAAAGTGCAATAAAGTTATTAAATGTATCTTTACTCAAAGTTGGAAACGTTATTAAACTGTGTCTTCACTTCTAGTTGAGAACGTTAACCGGCTGGCAGTACGCGTTTCAGTTATTTCGATAAACAGAGAACGATTAAGAAAGGGGAAATCACAAAGCAAAAAATACAACGTCGGAGGATGAGGATATATTTTCTCGAAGGTACAGACCGCGATATCGATCAGCATTGTTTCGTGTCTTTTTTCAAGATGTTGGAAGCGTTCCGCGAGAAGAGCGTGTATATCCGAATCGTCCGGCTTCGTGACGTAGCGAATTAATCTCCACGCCAAGTTAGAGCGGCTACGAAACTCCGGTTGTGTTCGAGTGAACCATTAACCCGGTCGGGTTTCAGTTTATCCTCCGGTCGAGGATCATCCTGAAGGTATTCGCGAGTGGAGCGTGACGACGATAGGTGGGAAGCAGCGATGGGAGGAATCGCTGGAATTATCGTTACCCAATTTGCTTCCCCGACGCGCGCCGCGCGCGGCCCGAACACGAAGTTCGCGAAATTGGGTCACTACTGGCAGATATCGGCGGGCAGAAAGCGCAAATTGAAAACCGAATGCGCTGTGCACTTGCCTCCGCTCTTCCCTCGTTGCGCGTGAGCGTGTATGTGTGTAAGAAACGTTATTATTGGTTACCGGCTCGCCCTCCGATCCCTATACTTTCATTCGCGCGCGAATTACACGCAGTGACAAATATTTATTAACGTCGTTTTATATATATATATATATATATATATATATATATATATATATATCTCTCTCTCTCTCTCTCCGTGGAGAATTCAGGTTGCTACAAAAACAGACGTCACGTATTGCGGGAGGACATAATTTTGCGATATTTGGAGAAATTTTTTTATCACAATTATCTCTCCTCTACATTGCGCAATACAAGAGGATAACTATTTGTTTTTTACAAGTAACTTACACAAGTATTTTTGACCGTACCAAAATACCCGGGAGATGCGGGAAATAACAAGGGCTCCCGGGGGAACGTTTCCACAGCTAATCGCCATCGTAAATAATCATTAATTTTCGCGAATCGCTCTGTTTATATCAGAACCCGTCTTTCAAGAAATCCCTTTAGCGCCTGGAACGCCCCTATTTCATCACAAATACCCTCATTCTTTACACGAGAGAATCGAGAAACGTACGAGATGATCCATTTTACTCGAATGTAATTAGTCGACGGGACCGCCCACGTATTTGACGTATTCTTTTTTTTCTTTCGACCTCATCGTCGCTTCTTCGTTCGTATTGTACTTCCCCGCAACGCCCGGTGTTTTTCCCCCGTTTTACGCCGCTTTCGTTCCAGCGACGAAATGAAAAGTACTCGCGGACGAATTTGCATTCATTTTCGGCAACTACAACCGCCGACGCTGCATACCGCGAAACGAGCGAATGCTCCGTTGCGTTCCATTAATGCAGCCGCTTTCGAAAGCCCTTCAGAACAGCCCGCACGATACGCATTACAACGTGCCGTGGCGCGTCGTAATCCAAACCCGCGTAATGATACCCACGACATAATTGCGGTAACGCGCCTGACTGTGAGCGATGCGCGGATTTGGCTCTAATTAGGCGATAAAATCGTGGCGGCGTAAGTTACACAATGGCGGACAATGTCAGCGGAAAGACGGAGGGGTGCACGGCGAGAGGAGGGGACAATGCGGAAGGAGAAGACAGGGAAAACGGTGATTCGCACCTCGGACGTGCAGAAAAGACTACGTCCGAAAAATCATCTTTTCAAAGCGAAAGGTAACCAGACGAGAGAGGAGCCGAAATCGAGGATAAGTAAAATCAAATTCTTTTCGTACGATCGATCAAACGATCAATAAAATTCTTTTCATACGTTCGAGCAAAAAATCGTGTACCAATAACAGCGATCGGGCTCTCGCAGGGTACGATCGCCGGACGGCAAATTGATTCTTTCGTTCGAATTTTTGGAGCCACACTTATTTCCTTCCTAAAATAAATTAGTTCCGCCGGAAATTCGTATACAATCGGGAGAAAAGAGCCATGCTGTTGTATCGGCGGGATCGGTCAACAGTGCCGTAATTGGGGTAAATCTTCCCGGCCTCAGCGGCGATACCGTTGAGACTAATATTTGAATTAGCGAAATGCACGATGCATTATTAGTTTTGATAATATTGCTATCGAATCAAAAATATATATATCCAATTACCGCGCCGTCGGTCGATTCTACTCAACGGCGCACTTATCTTCCGTGCGTGTGCGATGAGACACAAATTCCCGGTGGGATTACACACNCCGAGAAGTGACACGTCGGGGGGAAGGGGGGGGGGGAAACGCGGGGAACGCGTGAACGCATAAAATCACAGCGGTCTCCGTCGTAAGGCGAATTTCTCGCCGTTACAGCGCCCGTTCATAAATAATCATATCGGGGAGCCTCGGCCTACCCCCCGTCCCGCCAGCTTCCAGGGCTCATTTTTCCGATTACACCGGCATAAATACGTTAAAACCAATCCAATGGCGGGCCGCACGCGACTCCCTTGCGGCACCCCTCGGAAGGCTCGCGCGAAAGAGCTCCGTGTGCGTTCGGAGGCGCGAGGGGTGTAAAAGGAGCGCGTCTCGCGGCCGTCTAATGAATATTTACACGTTGAGGCGGAATTTTTCCCCGGGTCGACGTTACGCCGGCGGCGAGCGTCGTAAACTCGGCAGGATATTCGCCGGGGCCCGCGCGTGTCCGTGTCTCGTCTCGCCTCGATTTAGAAGGTCGCGCGAGAGGCCAGAGAGCGAAACAAAACGCTCCCGGGAGCGAAACATCGGCCGTCACTTACCAATCGTAGATTCCGCGCGAGTAATATACGCAAACGTCGCTCTCCCGGAATATACAAGCGGCCAGAGAAGAGCTAATGCACCGCGGATCGCGGCGACTGTATAAATTGGGCGTAATCGCCGGGTGTGCGGGGTTCGCGCTTAAGTGCGCGCGCGCGCGCGTGCTCACCGGAAATCTCGGGGCATAATTTCATAACGTACGAGCGAAAAGAATTCCGCCGCGGGAGCGCACTTCGGCGCCGTGTAAATCTTTCGCGAAAGCGCGTCTACCGGGGCGCGTAATCGCGGAGGTTGCCGGGTGATGCGCTCGCGATTTATCGATCGCGCGGCGTCACGGCGAAGCAGCGTCTGAGAATTGCACAAACGACGCTTGAAAGCAATTTTGTCGCGACGATGGAGTTTCGTATTTAGCTTAACTTGTTCCACGCAAACGCCGCGTCAAAACTTTCCGGACACCCTGTATTTAAGCAGGGACACATAAACTTGTATGAAGATGAAACGTTCGCCTATACAAGAGGAAATTCTGGATGGAAAATTTTCGAGGGAGAAATCGTTGGATAGAAGAAATGATATCTTGAAATTAAGAACTGTGTCGGTTGGGGATGACATCGTTCTTTTTGTCGAATATTTTTCTTCTCAATTCATACGAATTATTCTTGAATAACAAGAATATGATACTTTTAGTGGAGCTATATAAGATTTCTTCGTATATGCAAGTTTTATCCTCATATAAGATTGTATATTCTTGCTCATATAATATGAGGATATAAGTTTTGAATTGATGATGTGTTTCTTTTTTCTATGTAGTTGGTCTGTAACAATATTATGAGAAAAGTAATGATTAATGCAACATATGTACGACAAATTTGCGCTAAATGTTTATAAACGTGATGCATATGATATAATGTTTTGGCGCTATAGCAAGAGAATATAAAAAAAATCATAGCTACAGAAGCTATGAAAAAATAATTGTTTTGCATACTTTTTTGACATATAATATTTTTAT